GCAGGAACACCACAGGCTTCTCTGGCCTACCTCCATGGCGAAAAGATGAGAAACAAACACCAGGCGATGCTGCCCAGTGTCTATAAAGGTACAAGGATAAACAGTGTGGCTTATTTAGGGGGGGAAAGGGAGGCCTGGCTCTTGTAGATCTTCTCAAGGACCCAAGTCACATGCATATACACCAGATAAAGACCTGCTTCTTTTCTCTTCCCAAAAACGCCATTTTCCTCTGGGTGCTTATCAATTAGTGAGCATATGAAAGATTTGATCCAAGAGAACTTACTTCTCATGAGTGAATATCTCGTGAATATCTAACTGCCCATCTTTGGTCTGACTTATGAGAGCTCAGGTAACTTAGCAAGCTTCCTCCTCAGCAAGATTCCTCCTCCTACATCTGAGGGATGGCTGCTATCCATCAGTGCTCCTGCCACAGGTATGGATGCCACCAAAACAGGTAGCCCTCTGCAGCGAGAAACATCTGCGGAAGACAATCTATATGAGACTGAAATAGTGTTTTTCCCTATTTATTCTGCAAAAACAATGCAAACAGGGTATCTCATCGAAATGCTGGTTTGGTTTCCTTTGGTTTCTTTCCTTTGTTTTTACTGATCAAATGAAGAAAACAATCCCATTTCTCTTTCCCAGAATCTCCAAGGTAAAATTCATTTCAGATCCCCTTCATGAAATGACTGGATGGAAGATTGTCCCTTGGGTCACTCAGCATACTCATTACATGGCTCTCACTCATCAGAGATAATGAATCATGTATCCCAGGACTTGTCCACACTTGCAAGTTATCACTGATTAAGGTAAGGTGCAAATATAAAGCGCCGTTGCATTTCTAAAGAGCAGCTCGAGGGCTGAGTTAAGCAGGAACAATGCACTGATTTCTCAATAACAGCTTCCTCACAGGGTGTTAATCAGGAAGAGGTGACTGGAAACAACTCAGCCCTGAGATATGACACAGCTGAATCAGCCACACTTGCTCGAACCTCTCCCAGAGGACTCTGGCTGCCCTTGCCAGCAGTAGGAGAGTGTTTCAGGAAGTGCTGCTGAAGATCCTATGGATGATTTCAATTCATGCTGTGCATGTTAAGGTCTGTACCATGGTTTGCCATAGGGAAGCAGCAATAAAACATGAGTGCTACTTGGATTATCTGCTTATGGTTAAGAATACTGGCTGGTGTGTGTACCTGTTGAGCAGCCAAGCAAATGAAAAGGCATTTGATAGAATGTTCCAGCTGCAAATAAAAGCCCAGATCTAGATGACACTTTTCCACAGGAGCCTGTGACAGGTCATGGTATTGCTGCTCAGCCAAGTTGTCAGGCAGCAAAGCTATGAAGAAACATTTAGTGGGTTGCAAATGCTCACTTCTCATCTTTCAGTTTTGCAAATTTTATTGAGTGATGCTGCCCTTATTCTGTATTTGTCCCTTCTCAGTAGAAGTACTTGACAAGTTATCTGGGAACATCTATCGTTGCATAACCTCATACTCAACAGACAAATCTGTTCAGCTCCTTTTGCCCCCTTTATGCAGCCAGAGGCTCCAGGCATTTCTCAGGCATCCTTTCCGCAATGTATTTCTGCAGAAATAAAAAGACACAAAACTCAAAATTTGGCTTTCCTCTATATTTTTATTCTCTTAGCCTAACCCAAAGCACTTTAAAATAAATAATTGCTATAATCTTAGGGAAAGTTGTGAAGTAATTGGGTCTCTGGTCTCTAATTTATAAGCAGAAGTGGAAAAACACCCTACCCTTGACAGGATTAAAGTACCTGTGGGTACTCTTCGTGCTTTCAGATCATCTCTGGCTGCTTTGTTCCTTTTAGGCCATGCAGGTATGCACGGAGATGATTAGAGAGACTTCCTGGTCGATGCTCAGAGGAAAGCAGGTGCTTCTAGAAGGCAATGCCAGGCTGGGTTCCAGGAGCAGGAAGGCTTGTCCCACCCAGACCTGTGTCAGCTGGACATGGGTCTGGGATTGTTCCCATGCTGGCTCCTGCCCCACAGCACTGGTGACTCTATTCCCATGTGCTGTGGGTGGGAATCCAGCCCAGGAGCTGCTGGCAGGGGACAGCTGGCCAAAGGGAAGTGTGTGAGGATCATTCCCACCCTGCAGCCCACAGGATGCTCCACTGCATTTGTCTACTGGGCTCAGCCTGTCCTGTGGGTTTGAATGTGCAAAAGAGGACATGGAAATGGGGCTTCAAAGGCAGAACAGTTCTGGCATGTGGAGTGACAAGTGCAGGGAGAATACAAACTTCTTGAGGACAAATTTGCAACTCTACATGTGCAACTTACTTGGGGACTTGCAATATCTAACATTGCTCCATCAGCTGATCTCAGGGGAGGTTCAGGACGAGCCTCTCCACCTGCTGAGGAGCTGTGTCAGAGTTGGCCTGGAAATACAAGTGCATAAACATTACCCAAGGGAGTCTGGCTAAGCCTGTGGACAAGAACTAGCTTCAGACAATACCAGTGCACACAACCAAGCCTGCCTTTGAGGGGGGACAGGTATAGGTGATGGGATACAGCACAAAACACACTAAAAATGGCCTATATTCACACTTTTCTACACAACCATTAGGTTTTTTTTTATTCTTCCAAAAGTGAACTTCCTATCAATCCAGCTCTGAGGCAGTTAACACACGGAACTCAAAGCTACAGCTAACCCATATCTGCACACCAGCTTAAGAATAAAATATTTCCTTATCATGTTGAAATCTCTATTTCATGCTGAGCTTAAACTTGAAGCAGCCACAGTTCCAGTTGTAATAACCCTGGGCATTGAGAGGACCTGAAACTTCTGAAAATCAAGTCCAGAAGCAGTCAGGATTTCCACCAGTGCCACAAACCCAAGGAAACTTTCTGATGGTTTCATTTCTATTTGGAGTTTCACTGACCTAGAAAATAATACATGAAATATATTCTATTCCTCAGGCAGGTTCCACATTACCAAGTGCAATACTCCCAGCTGCAGACAGTGTATTCTTTTGCTCTAAATTCGTTTTCCAGAACTATATTTCTCAAAAAATATAAGACTTGAAGCTCCACTTTTTATGATAATAAAAGGTTTTGTTTCAGCTATCCTCTTTAACAGGTGCATCCAGAGTCTAAGCCCATTTTAGGAATATGTCAGAGGAAAAAAAAAAAGCTAAAATGAGTTGCCAAAGCTGCTGTCTGGCCTTTAAATATATATTTAAAGCTCTATCTCAGGGCTCCACAACCCCAAAGGAGTTTCTTTTCTCGGTGCCAAATGCAGAGTTCATGCAGCCCCAGCTCCGCTAAACAAGGTGCTAAGTTCACATGCAAAAGCCAGGTGCTGTTTACACAAAAAAGTGGGGCAAACATCTGCATGTCACCAAGCATCTTTCCTGTACACTGAATATAAATATCCAGGGTAAACCTTTACCTCTTGACTGTGTTTCCTCCTACACCTTTATCCTCTGAGGCAGCTTATGTAAGTAACCTGAGATAAAAAAGCTCCCTTGTCATGGTATAAAAATACTAAAGCTCCACTGCCTTATAATCTGCTCCCTTTGCTGGGTGTCCATCAGGTCTTCAGGATGTGATGTCAAGAAACACTATCCCTATTAGAGAGTTTGACATCTGAAGGTCTCATTTATGATTGGTGATGGGGAATATAGTCCATAAAGCTGCTGAGGAAAGGTGTGCTGCAGAAAAGCCCTGGAAGAGAACATAGCAGCCTGTGTGCAGATGTCCAACACAGCTTCATGTCTTGGAACTTCTTCTCCCACTCTGACCACAAAGCAACATAAGCTGACTTTCCAGTGCCAGAGCAGCCTCATGTATTTGTTAGCAAGTCTTTGCCCCAGTAAGTCATTCTTGAGAAAGAATGTCAGCAAACATTTTCATTAATTCAGTAATGCTAGTGACTGATGACCAAATAATATTGTTTATTTAACCAAAATAAGTTCTGCAAAGAGCAAATATTTCAAAATAATGAATATTTCCTGATGACATTCATTTATCACACTGGAATTTTAGAAAGCTGTGAAAAAGGCTTGGAGAGACCCACAAGAGATCATGACGTCCATGTGTGATCCATGTAATTTCTGATGATGAACATCATCATGAAATACTTGTTACCCACAAGATTTTGTTCAGATATACTTGTTTTAGGGTCTGTAGGTCCTCCTTTAAGTGGCTCACCTTATTGTTAAGGTTGAGTTCTCCAGATACTTCGGCATAAATTACCTTTTAATGTTGTTTTAGGCATTTTTTTCCTAGGGAGCACCTCTGCAGACCTCTTGGTCTTTGCTCCAAAGAATCTGAAACAGAAAAGTTTATTCAAAAACCTGTCCAAGCAGCAGTTTGCATAACACACGTCTGCTGTCATGGTACCTCATTGCCCACGGGGTGCCCAGCTCAGACCCTACTGTTCTGACATAATCTGTAGAGTACATACGTTTGTACCAAGTGGTACAAATTTGGTCACTCAGTCAAAGGGCTGGTTTTTGAAGATGAGTTAAACTAGAAAGACTTAGCAAAGTCTGTGCTCATTACCACATGGACACCCAAGCCCAAATGCAGCCTTGGCTGTGTCATAGGATGTGAAATCTTGCAGCAGCACACACTTCTAGCAGAAGAGAGAAGCATAGTAGCTGTCTGGGAGGTAACCATTCCCTTCAGGTTAAATTAAATTTATGTTGGTTTAATTTAAGACAGTTGGGAACAGTTTTCAAGCTAGAATAATAAAAGCCCCTCCTAAAGTGAAATAATGGATAGTAATAATACTGACATGTGGCAATAATAATAAAGATGTACTGCCCACTAAAGGTTTCGGGGGTTTTTTTTTTAATGAAATAGAACCAAAAGAAGTTTCTGTGTGGACTATAACCCAGAGGCCAATGAGTCTTAGGCATCTTTGAGAAGAGGGAACACTATCCTCAAACTCTCTGCTGGGACAGAGTGGGAATTTTGAAGCCCAGACTATTTTTTTGCTTTGCACTTTAACACAGAGAAAGCTGAGGCAGGTTGGCAGACACAAAGCACACGCTTTATTCACTGATTTTGTAGCTGGTGGCATACACTGAGTTAAAGCTTAAAAGGAAAATTGTAGGATGCAGTTTGGAGTCCTCAGGTGTCCATCCTCTCCTGGTGTCTGCTCCAGTGCAGCAAGGGATCGCTGTCCTATCAACAACCACCCCCCAGTAAAATTATACCTTTTAGTAAAGCCTGCTCAAGTTGCCTTCCAGAGATCTTTTTCTGATGGCAATACTGGCACTGGCTGGATTATGCTTGATTAAGTACAAATGTTGCATGCTAATTGGCTGATACGCCTTGTATACATTTTTAATCAGGTATTACTTTATCCTGTATTAAAATTACTGCTGTATAGTCTTTAATATGTTCTCATGGGTCTAGAAGGCACCAAGTGGAAAGAGTGTGGGAACTTGAGTGCTGAATTATATGAATTATAGCTTGACAGGAACATGATGGAAAGGTAGAGGAGAAGAGCACAGGAGGATGGCTGAGGTATAGGAAGCCTTTTTCCAGGGAATATGGCACAAAAAATTCACTCCTGGAAATCTGTGAGGAAAAGTGCTGGTGAAAGGGACAAGTGAAATGGGCTGTCACAGCAACCCTGCAGTAATTTTAAGTGAAAGACTACAAGCAAAAAAATACCCTAAAAATTAGAAAACATTAAGACTAGGCCTGTACAAACAATTTCACTGTGCAATATTTGGATAACAAGACCCACTCTAGGTCTCATAAAAGTTACATAAAAATAGTCAGTGGGATTTTGGGCATATCCTGCACCCAAGGTACACTCAGATTTCCAGACTATCCCATTCATCTGGCACAGAAATTAATGGCAAGATCTGAGCTTTTATTTCCAAGTTTCATTGTTTGTATGATCTACCATAGGCAGGAAGATTAAAGAGTAAAGGAACACCTAAATCTAGAAAGAACAAAGAAGAGATCAATAGATGAACGTGAGTAATTGCATCAGGTGCAAAAACACAATTAGTGACATTATAATTACTGAAATTAAATATCAATTTGTGTGAGTATGCACTACAATACTTTTGACAGACTCAAGCATTTTGTGATAGCAAATAAAAGTGGGATGACAGCTCCCTAATTTGTAAAGAAGTAGAACCATAGAACCATTAAAGCTCACTTAAAGAATTTTATTCCTTAAGATACAAGGACAGGAAAGGTTTCAGTGCAAAGAGGGTAAGTGATAATAAATGCCCAGTAAAACCATGCATGCATCTGCAGTTATTAAGACACACAGCAGCTTTTCTAAAATACAAATGTAGTACATGAAGTAACAAACCCTGCAGCAGCACCATGGAAAACTTTGGTCTGAAGGAGAGGGCGGGAAGATCATTCCCTTTGGGATAGGACACACCTCGTTTTAGATACTGCAGGCGTACAGGTTGCATGCTAATTGTGTCTGTGTCTTCCTCTAGTGCACAGGGAGAAACAGGTGTCACCAGAGATGATCCTTACCATAGAGATATCCATTTAGCATGCCAGGTGGTGAGATGAATCCAGGTCATTTCTCTCCCTTACCAATTTTCATTGAGAGAACTTTCCATCTCCCAGAGAATATTTTCTCCAGCACGTTTCTCCAAGGCTGGCCCTTTAAGTGTGTGAGAGCCCTGCAGCCACAAAGCAGTGATTTTTTTTTTCCCTTCAAAACAGCTTCACTTTCCTCTCCCACCTCCCCTCTTTCCTCCTGGTGTTTAGGTCCTTTTTGCTAGCAGGATGGTTTTTTTTTCACCCCGTTGCTAGGTTGGTAGCCTAGTTTCCCAAGGAAAGGAAGCTTATGAGATCACACTGTCTGTGCAAGTGCCAGTCGGTCCCTCCTAAATAATTTTTGAGCCTGTGAACTGAGCTTGATCAAACTTGACAGGGGATAGAAGTCTCAAAGATTTGAGCTGCCTACAAGTGCTGTGGAAGTAGGCAGTCAGAGGAGAAAAAAATGCTGGGAGTGCATCCACTGCAGAAATATAACTGTGTTATTAGACACCAGAGAGTCCACATCGAAGACAGTCATTACCACTGAACTCCATGGGAGATACAATTTCACAGATTCAGCAGCTCACAAGATGACTTGATTAATATGAGCATGAGCAAAATGTTCTTCTCCCCTTCTTCCAGAGTGCGAGGCTTCCAGTTGCAGAGCAGCAGGGGAGAGCTCAGAAATGACAGGCTGGTAGAGTGAATTTAGAGCTAATTGCTGCTCCTTCTCATGCCACTACTCGCGTGGAACTCGACTTCCCTGTGACTCCGGTGCCCCCATTTGCATGATCTGGTTCACACAAAGGATGAAATTGCACGGACTGAAGTGAGCAGAGCAAGTCCTAAATTGCCGTGAGCTAGCGCAGCTCTGCTGAGGAGGGTGAAGCTGCCCTATAATGGGCCAACCTTTCCTAAGGGCAGCTCCATGATGAAGCATCCAGCTCCTCCGGATCTGTCCTCCTGGCGCTGGTCTGCGTTGCAGCTGCTAGCGGTGGTTCATTTACCGTGAGTGTGAGCTGGAACATCAGCTGAGGACCAGCAAAAGCTGTGCCTGGTGCGTAGGCTGGCTCTCCTTTGTTCCTGCTGTGGCTTTTCCTAGAAGTCAGCCACCCCAGGACTGCCTGACTACTGAGCCTGAACAAAACCCTCGCAGATCCTTGTTAACACTTGCTAGGGAGAAAAACAAGCTGTTTGCACAGGTGGAAACAAGTGGAAAAAGAAGTGGAAATCACTCATCTTACAGAAAAAAAAGGAAAAACGATGAACTAACCACAGCTGACATTACAATGAAGACTGGGGAGTTGTGCAACTTTCAGTGTTCAGTGAAATATTGATGTTTTCTTCTTCTCCTAAGCCTTCTAAGTATTGATGTGCCAGATATCAGATTTAGGTTGAGAGAGTGCAAATCACCAACACCTAAAGAAAATGGAGGGAAGGTAATTAAATGAACTTTTGATGCACAGCAAAACAGGGGGCTTGTGAGCAGTGAGTGGCATGACTGAAAATGGATTGGGATTTTGCAGGAGGGACAGGTATTGCAGCCTGCCCTCAACATCCCAGCCGAGGGCATGGGCTGAAATTCACGGTCCGAAATGTCTGCAGCGCAGCATCTGCATGAGGCTGGGCTGCTACAGCCTTCTTTAAGATGGGATTTCTTCAGAGAGGGACGTGACCCACAATTCTCCTGCACCCAGGGCTGAATGTTTTCTGTTACATAACAGATCTGTGAGGCAACAGGGGAGCATCCTTTACCTATTATTTGTGGTTGTCATTTCAATCCGGGCATTTTTCTTCTGATGAAAGCTAAAAGATAAAATAATTTTTTTCTAATTAATAAAGCCTATATAGCATTTTTCACAAGCCTCAAAGATCTTAAAGTGCCACTTCCACTTAATAGGAGCAAGGGTGAAGGAGATCAAGTGTAATGTCTTGGCAACAGAAGAAAAACAAGTCTTGCATCATGGGTCTAGTAAAAGGGACAAGGGCACCTATTAAGCCTCAATAAAAAGCAAAGCTTAGGACAATTTTCTGACATATTGGATCCTTCAATGAGGCGTTGCGAAACTAATGTGACCAATGTTCCATGCTAACAAAATATGTTCTGGATTTTTCATCTGACAACATAATTTAAGGATTTCTTAGAATATGAGAAACAAAATGAGGCAGTGCCTTTACAGGAATCATTCCTTTGCAAAAGGCAGCTTGTGCCAGAGGACTGGAAAATTGAAAGTGTCCCAGGGGAGCACAGGAATGGATAAAACCTCTTACACTACCCAGTCAAAATAAAACGCTTTAAAAGAAGCATAAATACCAAACTGACCATATACTGCAAAACTCCTTGTACTTAAGGTACTTCTCTTGTCAGAAGTACTACTATTAGAAGTCCTGACAAAGAGAGACTATGCTAGACACATGGTCTGACTCTTGAAGAGGTGCATTTGGCAGAATTAGACCATGTACACAGCTGTAGATGAAGGAAACTTACTGAGAGTGTCTGCAGAAAAATAGGTGGTTTAAGGAAGGATAAATCTGATTAAAACAACTCCTATTACTATCAGTGATTGTTTCTTTGTTACGGTTACTAATGGCTTTTTGGTTGGTTACTCGTTTTTTTATTTTGGTTGACTGAGATTTTGAGATTTTCATTTGCTGCCTTGGGGAGCATCAGTTTGGACATCCAGTAGTTTCCAAAGTGTTAAAGAAATTGGTGGTATTAAAGTGGTATTAAAGGATGCAATGCCCATCCACTCTTGAGGCTGCTTCATGGCAAAAAATAAAGGTGCCCTGCAGCTTTGATCTTGGATGCTTGAGAGATCTAGTAAGTTTTTCACAGTCCTTAATAAACTGATATAGTGGGCAAGAAATCTGGAGGTGAAAAGCTCAATGCACACACAAAGCTCTTTGTATTTTGGTGGTATGAACCTGGAGTTCATATTGGGATAACATTCCTGTCTGAGGTAAAACTGAGCATTCAAAATCCTTACCTAGGAAGAATGCACACTGACTTCAGGGGAAACTTTTCCCAGAGAATGGCTGTGTAAAGAAGGTCAGGACTAGTTGTTTGTCCCCTGCAGCAATGTTGTTTCTCTGAAGAGACTTCCAGCACCTGTGAGCAGGGATTTATTACTGCTGGTGAATACCAGCACGCAGGTGTTGGTCAGTCTCACCTTGACCTTCAGGAGGCAGTTTCCATCTTTTCTTCATATCAGCTTTGGAGATAAGCAAACAAAGAAACAAAATAAAACAAACAATACAGCCTAAAAAGCTAAGGTACAAGCCACAGGCAGGGTTTCTGACAATTTTATCCATTTAAACCTATTTCTTCAGTACCTCCTGAAAGGCAGAGTCTGTTCCAGCACAGTCTGCCCATTTGTTAGCAAACACATAGTTCAGGAGTATGGGGCTTTGAGCAAAATCTTCAAACACAGACCCACCATGGGGATTTGAGGGGAAAGGAACAGCCAGTAACTCACCAGTAATAATGCTGTTGTGACTCTCCCACATCATCTCCAGTTTCTCTTCTCACTGGTGGAACTGGGCAGCAGAAAGTCCTTAGCCCAAAGCAAATGAAAGCCCCTTCCTCTACTACCATTGCAATGGGCCCTGGGTTGAAATTGTCCCTCAAGAGAGGCACCAGCCAGCTGGAAGCACATTTGCCAACAGTGCAATTGATCTCCAGCTGCCTTTAGCCTAAAGAAACTCTTTCAGACATCTAAAATTGCATCTGATTTCATAACAGACTCCTCTGCAATCCCCACCGCTTTGCCTGCTCTCAACCCTGCCCAAAAAAACCCAAAACCTAAACCAAAAAAAGCCCACCCAAACCCACTCATGATGAAGAATGAAGTGGCTCAGAAGAATAAGCCAATTTGACACCTCCTCCTGCAAGTCCTGCCAGCCAACTCCTGCAACAGTCTTGGTCTGCAGCACCCTGTATGCAGGATCTGCAACTAGGGCAGGGGAGAGGGAAAAGGTGGAGGAGGGAGGGGGGAAGGCACAGAGGCTGCTGACACAGAAAGCCAGGGCTATTCCTGCTGCCCACCCTGGAGGCACCACCTCTGCATCAGGCAGGAGTATCAGAGGGAGAATCTGGCTTTCTGGATTTAACAAGCTCACTTTTCCTTTAATTGGGGCCCTCAGGCACTACTGTAGTTCACCTAATGGCACTAATCATTAATGAATCAGCTTGATGAATAGAAAGGCTGAACTGTTCTCTCTCTCCTTAGGTTGTCAGGCGTTCACAGAACTTACTGGGTTTCACTGGGCAGGACAACAACTGCACAGATTTTAAAAGGATCCTGGAGAGGAAGAAGGCTGGAAGAGCCACTGATCCATTCATGAGATGTACATCAAGAGATGTAGGTATAGCCAGCAAAAAGTCCTGTCAGAAATGGATACTGCACCTTACTTTCATACCGTGCCTCCCTAAGCACCGACCAATTTGCTCTCACTACCACTCAGACAGATTTTTCCTCAGTTTTGTGTGTCCTGGCTCAAGCTTTTGCTCCCAGCACAGGCCCACTCCATCTCCCTGTTACAGCCTTTGAACAGATGGCAAAAAGGCCTTTCTTTTTTTTTTTTTTCTCCTTAAAGCAAAAATAATCGACCGCCACCAGCTCAGCCCGACCCGGGGCAAGGTGCAGTCCTCCCTGCAGGGCTCAGCCAGGCTGCTAAAAGGGGGAGGGAGGCAGCAGGAGAGCAGCCGCAGGCCAGGCACGGGTGCATCCAGCGCTGCCGGGGAAGAAGGAGCCAGCGCTCTGCAGCCCTCCGGGGACTGCGGGGCTGCGGTTGCTCAGTCGGAGCTGGGGATAGGAATTAGGGCAGGCAGAGCCGCAATGGCTGCAACCCTTCCTGATTATCCAGCCAGCTAGAAATGCACTGGCTTGTCTTTTGTTTCAGCTGCGGGTTTTTCCCCTGTTGATCTGCATATATTTTGTTGTTGTTGTTGTTTTGGGGTTTTTTCTTTTTTTTTTTCTTTTTTTTTTTTTTCCCCTCCTTTATGCGTGCGTGTGTGCGCATTTTCTTTTAAGCAGGGGATAATTTTACTGTGGTCACTGTCAAGGTTTGAATGCTTTTCTGTTGCGTTTTCCCCCTCTGCAGTTCACCAGCTCACGTTTGCCCAGGAGTTAAGAAGGGATGTTAGAGGCTTGAGCCTCTTCCAGCTCTTTCTGCAGCAGCCGCTGCCTGGGGCAGTGGGACCAGCCTGGCAAGAGACAGCCCAGCCTTTCCCGCAGCCTCTACAAACCCCACAGGTGCAAGGCGGCAGGAGGCAAGCCCAGTACACTCAGTCCCTTTCTGGGACTTGGCGGAGGGCTCGTGTTTCCTTGGCCACACAACATGGCAAGGCAGAACAAGCATCCATCCCTGTGGTCCAGAAAATTAAATACATAAAATCGACCATTGCACTCAGGCTCCAGAAACGGCCCCCGAAAAGAGCAGAAAAGAGAACAACCAATACCCTGAGCATTGAGGGGCTCTTAAGAAATGAACGGGAGGAAAGGAAGGGGGAGTTTTTTGGTTGTTCGTGCCCCCCGAAAAAAGCACGGAGCTGCCGGCGGAAAGAGCCTCTCTCGCCAGTTTGTCCGGGGGGAGCTGAGCCGGCGGGAGCGGGGTTTGCTGCCGTCCCTGCGGGAAATCCCGGGCTGCAATGCAGGTTAGTGCATCCCGGCCAGCTCGGCAGGCCCGGCCTGTGCCCCGGGGGTGAGCGCCCGACAATTATTAGTCCCAAACAGGAGATGCAGGACGAGACAGTGGGGAGGAAAGGGGCCCGGGAACGACCACCGGGCACCCTCCCCACCCGCTCGGCTGTTTTTCACTGGTTTGCCACCGTTTATTATCCTCCTCAACGGAGGGTTAATTGGGGGATGTGCTAATTACGGAGAGATTATTCATTAGTAATTGAACTTCACACGAAGATAACTCGAGTCCGCTAATGAGCTGGAAACCACCCCCTTATTAGGGCGTTTTATCTTTCTTCTGTGGGGTGAGGGGAAGCTGGTAGGCCCCCTTCCATCGTCCTCCCACGGACGGACGGGCACCGTCCAGCCGCCGGGAAGGCGGGGGCGGGAGCACGCCCGGCACCGAGCCGGGGGATGCCGACAGCGGGCGGCACCGGCGCCCGGATACCCCGGGGCGGAGCGGGGCGCCTTGCCGGCCTCCGGCGGGGGCTCCCCGGGGCCCAGCCGGCTCAGACAGCAGGCTGCGGAGCCCCTCGCACCCCAGCAAGGGCTCCCTCTCCCCTCTCTCCTCGGCATCTGGCATTTCGCGCTAAGGGAAACCATAACAGCAGCGCCTGACCTCATGAATACAGAGATGTGCACGCAAAAATCAATTTAGGTCTAAATCCTCTGTGGGGAGGGAAAATAACCCAAATAATTTAAACAAAGCTCTGCTCTCCAGGGTTTTCCTTTTTCTTTGGTGATGGTGGGGATTGAGTCTAGAGGGAGGCCAAAGTAAAACGAAATTCAAGCAGACCTGTGTCTGCCGAAGCGAGGCTGAGCTCTCTCTGCAAAGCTCCCCCCAACACACGCATAATGTATTTTATCATTAAAAAATCAACATTGCTTCCAGTGGTAAAGGCGCCTGGCTCCAGTTCCTGAGCACATTCGTTGCTGGGATTCAATCCGTTTGGGAAATGCAGATTGGCTTGCGACCCACTGTTTGATTTATGAACTGTTACATTTGCTATTGCTTACACATTACATTGCGGACCTTGGGAAAGGAGGGAGCAAGGAGAGGGGGCGAAGGAGAGACTCTGCCACCCTACACATTGGCAAAGGAGAGCTATCTCACAGGCAGCGGCTCCCCAGCGGAATAAATCACCTCGCACCAATTCGTGGTCCTTACCTCCCCATCACCCA